AAAGGGAATGCATTTACAAGGTACTTTAGTGAACAAGAAACATTTACGCTTTCAGTATTTTGAGACATGTATTTTATACTTTTTGGTACCTTCCGATCGTCCGTTTGTTTTACTGATGGTATGTCTCGCTCATTTGCTCTCTCTCTCTCTCTTCATAAGCTTTGCTGCTACGCGGTCTCTGCTGTTGTTTACCTTCTCTCCACTGCTTACAGCTTTTGTCAATACACGTTAATCTCTGCCACTTTTACCGTTCTCAGTATTCTCGTACTGGGCACGCCCCTTAGGTGTCCTCGCTTGCGACTAGCATCTGAGGGGCCCCCCACACTACGATACGGACAAGCGATACACGACGATAGGTAGATGAGTAGGACCTATGTTTGAAACCAAGAATTGTGTAATCGTCATTGTTGGCTCTCCCTCTGGGATCAACATTTGCGATGCTAGTTCATAAGAAAGTAAAATAGGACACGATCAACTGGAATGAGCACAAGGAAGATAGGTACTACCCCCAGTGTATGCAAAGGAATATATGTTCCACTTCTTTTTGCGTGAAGAAACAGCGACTAATAGATTCGAGTTTTAAGAACACCTGGCAACTTCCTCGGCCCGGTTTGCCGAACTACCTCCACGTGGTGCCAACTGGGTGGTTCGGGAGTATACCGTTCCAGCGAAAGGTTCGGCGGCAGTGTTCCAGGAGGTGGTAGGTTTTCGCCTGGCAAGTGTCCTCCCTATAAAAAGCCATCTACGTCCGTTTAACAACACTGCGACGTGGCGGATGTGACTCGCCACTAAATAAAGTCACTGCCACTTGCTTCACCTCGCTGGAACATTGTAATCCTTCAGCTTGACGCTGAATTACTGGGAGTATTTGGCCCCTGTTTGGCAGCCAGCCAAACGAAAGGCGTATGAACCGAGCAACCGGTCACCGGCTCCCAATGAGCGCGATTCCCTGAAGCCGCCCCACTACCTTGCGGGTCAGGTCCCTATGACCAAAGGCTTCGGGTGGGGCCCCTAAGTCAACCCCTTCCTCGGCCTGGGCAACCGGGAATCTGTATGCCCACACAATACAAAGGATGGATTTACAACTGCTCACCTTTCTCGCTCTAAACTCTTTCTCTTTGGCCAGGGTGCTGGCAGCCGGGCATGCTAAACCTCCCTCTACCGCACCGCAAACCGCGTTCTCTGTTCCATTTTTATTCAACCGTTCTTGGCAACCTCCCTCAACTTCGTGCCCCCAAAAGTGCATTGCAAATAAAAACAGTACCTTTGGCCTCATCAATGTACCGCTCATAACCGGTCGCACACATTCCAATACCAACAATAAGGCTTTTATTGCACCCCACTCGCTGTTCGTATGCTCATGCAGATTGGTTCACAAGCTGCTCTTGCGCGCACCTTGGAAACCCTCTCAATCGACGTTTGCTGCCTAACCGAAACCGCTTTACAAGACTCCAGCACAACGCTGCGATTGCTCTCACCCTCCCCAAGTTCCAATTACACATTCACCTTGCACTTATCTGGAGATGTGACAGTGGCGGCCTCTGATTGCGCCGGCGTAGGAGTTGCGTTAAGGCAGCGTGCTAACGCAACGCTCATTGACTGGTTCCCAGTCAACAGTCGTCTTTGTGCAGTCCGCTTGGAAAGCTCAGTGCCATCTTCCAGCAACGGGACTAGTAGACACTGCTTATTCATTGTGGCGGCGTACGCTCCTACGGACTGCAGCCCGGACGAAGCTAAAGACGACTTCTACCGCCACCTCACCGATCTCCTACGCAAGAAACGCCGCACGGACATCGTGATACTCGCCGGTGACCTAAATGCGCAAGTTGGTAGATTAGAGGTTCATGAGCGCGAACTTGGAGGTCAACACAGTCACGGTACTCGCATCGCGGACAACAACGGTCGACTTCTTCAACTGTGCGCCGACCACGGCTTGTTCCTTTCCAGCACCGATTTCCGACGTTCATGGAGCCAACGAGCCACCTGGGGACCTCCGGCGCCAGGTCATGGAACGCAGATTAACCACGTCGCTGTTAGTTACCGTCGGCGAGGTTGCATAACTGACTGCAAGTCAATATGGAACACTTACCTGACTTCGGATCTTGCGCTCGTGTGCTAAGTTCGTTCTGCGCTTCGGAGGCACCCAAAAACCTCGTCGGAAACGGTTTGACACCGACAAGCTCGCCGCCTGAAATGTTCTCGGCGCATTTCAGAACACGTTAGCCTCTAACCTACGTTCTCTATCCTCTGATGTTGAGACACAGTACATATCCAGTGCGCCTTACTAAAGTCCGCTACCCTGGTCTGTTGCTTCACTAGATGAGCTGCTAGTCATTGGATTTCCGCACGGTCTCTCCAATTACTGGAAGGTCGTCGAACAATATCCGTTGGACTTGAGTACAGCGCACTACGTAGAACCACAGGTGCTAAGCTCAGACAGTTCCTCAAGAAAGATCTCGAGGTTTGTTGGACACTGAACATCGTTGAGATGGAGCGGGCGACTTCATCAGGAAACTCCCGCAAACTCTCCCAATTTATTCGCTCCGCGGAAGGCAGAAGACCAACAGTGAGTGAGGTTTTGAGTGAAAATGACGGTGAATTAATACACAGTCGTCACCGTCGCCTGGCACGATGGGGAGAGCACTTTGAAGACCAGTACAACTGGCCAGCAGCGCAAGCGAGTCTATCCTCCGGGGTTCACAGTGCTCCCTGGTGCGCGGATGTTTCTCCACCGACAGAGGCTGACGTTTCCAATGAGCTTTGTCTACTGAAGCGCCACAAGTCACATGGCTCAGATGAACTTCCTCCTGCCCTCTTCAAATGTGGAGTCCTGCTCTCACTCGCGAACCGACATCTTTATTCCATCACATTTGGACTACCGAAACCATTCCATCCGACTGGGATTTAGCGGATGTTGTACCAGTTTACAAAAAAGGAGACCGGACTATTTGCTTCAACGCTCGTGGCATCAGGCTCATTTGTATCGCATTCGAACTGCTCGCTGCCCTACACTTGTGAAGGCTCAGTTGCGTAAGGGAAAGCACCTGCGTGCACAACAAGCTGGATTTTGCCCGGGTCGCAGTTGCGTCGATCACATCTTTACGATCAGCCAGATACTTGGACATCGCCATATGTTCAGCCGACCAACTATAGTCATGTTCTTTGGCATTCGAGCCGATTTTGACTCTGTTGACAGAGTGGCTCTTTGGGACTGCTTACTGAAAAGGGGAGTGCCCGAGATATATCAGCATTCTCCGTGCCATTTACCTTCATATTTCGGGCCGCGTGTGAGCATACGGAAACATTTCGCCCCTTTCAGTATCAGTAACGGTATTAGACAGGGTTGTCCAGCCTTTCCATTCTTGTTCAACTTCGCCATGGACGAGATCCTGGATACTGCCCTGGATAACACTGAGTCCTTCGGTGTTGAACTGTTTCTTGGTGACCACGTTCGGGATTTAGAGTACGCCGATGACATTGCTGTGATTTGCGAGTCCTCCCAAGCCGCTCAGCATGTGCTGCTCAAACTGGAGATGTCCGCCTCCCGATTTGGAGTGACCTTTGCCCTACCAAATGTAAGGTCCTATTACAGGACTAGCCAAACGCATGTCCTTCTCTCACCCTTTCAGGGCATCTGCTGGAAGTGGTCGACAAATTCACTTATCTTGGGAGTTTGACAGATGAGATCTCCCTGTGTGTCTCCAAGGCTAGAGTCGCTTTCGCGACTTCGTCGTGACCTCGGCCTCACTCTCAAGGGACGGGTCTATAATGCTACGATACGAGCGATTCTGCTGTACGGCTGAGACTTGGCCCGTTCGCAAAAGCGATGTTCAGCGGCTATCTGTATTCGATCACCGCTGCCTGCGAAGCATTGCTGGTGTTCGATGGCAGCATCACATCAGTAATGAGGAAGGCCGTCGTCGGGTCTTCAGATCTAACGAACTCCGCTGACCGATTGCTAGCATCATTTCACTGCAGAAGCTTTGCTGGCTTGGGCATATGCTTCGCATGCCTACCCAGCGGCTATCACGAGGAGCCCTATTTGCGAGTGCAGGCGTGGCTTAGAAGCGACGAAAAGGAAAGCAATGTAAAACTTGGATGCAATGGGTTAAGGCGCAAACGATGAAGCTGGCTGTTGTCGTGCATTCCGGGCTCCCGGGTTGGGGAACAAAGGACCCCGAGCACATCGGGTTGCAAACGCTGAAGGATATGACCAAGGACTGTACACAATGGCTCACTTGCTGTGAGACTTCTACCCAAACAGTCGTTTTATCTTTCACGGTAATGTTTTCCTCTAATATGTTGTGACAGCCAGTGGTATTGTAATTGGTATAGTGTTGAATATATATATATATATATATATATCCTCGGTCTGGGCAACCGGGAAGCTCACTGCCCACACAACACTTGAACCCAAGTAAATTTTTCACTGAGTTTCTCTTTTCCTTCTTTTTGTTGTTGTTACTCATGTGTTGTGACAATCTGCTAACTGTTTATTGGTCAATTGTTAAATAAACAAAAATAAAACCACCCATAAAATTCGCATAATAAGCTGGTCCATCATGTTATGAAAGCGGTAATAATAGGTGCCGACTGTTAAATTGACAACGCTGAGGAAGACATTAGTTAGTAGCTTAAGAATTAAGCTGTGGACCGATTACTAGTTAAGTAAAATGCTGGTATATCAAGCACAAGCAAAATAACTACATAATCGGTCCTCTACCAGCTGGCTACTAGATCACAATAGCAGAAGAATGGAAGTTTGGTGAGATCGTATTATTTGTCAAGCCTATACACTGCGGAATATGCTAATGCTTATTATTTAACAGTCTTGACAGAAGGACAAACAGGAGTGATACGAAAGAGAGTCGAAAAGAGATAACCGTTTTATTCCTCTAACTAACTAATGAAGAAGTTTGCAAGTTCACGTTCAAATGATAGGGAACAAATAGGAGAATCGTATGAGTGCTCCTACTACAACAGATCATTGAGCCAGGAATTCACAAAGTGCTCAGAGGTTCTGATGGCTCGAAAGCGAACCACTCGAGCCACACCCTTGTCAGCCAATCACTGCCACCGTTTCCTGCACCAGAATTCCTTGCTGGGTTGGTCACGTGAACTTAGCATGGGTAGGCAAGAACATGGAAAGTAAAGAAGCGGGAAAGCCATTTGAAGGAAGGACAATACCAATGGGTAAAAGAAAGTATAAAAGATAAAGTCGAAGTATGAGGATGGATTTGGTCAGGAGACGAGAAGGCCTCGTGTTGTCAACCAAAACGTCCAGCTGACGCTAAAAATCCCTGATCCTCGGTCCCATGAGCACAATATCTGGAAGCGAGTTCCAGCGCTCAATAACTGCACGGTAACCGCGTTTTCGCTCTAATTTCCGCCTCATTCAGTAGCGTTTTACGTTTCCCTGGATTAGAGAAGGCTACGCGCAGTAGGCGAGGTCAAGGATTTGGCGCGCTAACTGGTATGGTCCCAGTCTAGTCAGCTTCTTAACACTGAAAAACCAGATGAAGGAGGCCTTGTCACACCCAATTTAAACCACTGAAGTTCATACAACATGCCCTCAACAGGAAGGACTGTAAATTCCAGTGCGTTATGGAATATAACGCTGCCATCCCTGTAAGAATCGCGGCGACGAGTGTGTTGTTCCCACGTGTCTTCGAATGTGTAAAACACTAGCAGGCTGCGCCACAGCCAGAGTAAGGGCCTTTGCTCCAATTGTAGCACCCAACTTGACAGTTGGCTTATGGACAGCTCTGGCCTTCTTTATCCTCTGGCTAACGGGTGCTGGGATCCGTGTCTTAGCGCCGAGTGTCAGGGAATCTAATACGCTACTAGAAACCGCTCTTCGGTGTCAGCCGCGGTAGACGGCACCTCCTACTAACAGGGAGAAGCAATGCATAAGTGTGTTGTAACCACCACTCGACTTGCCAAATGACGACGGCATTTCGCGTTTCCCGTTAGGTGTTAGGACAATTTTAGCTAGGAGTTCGACAATTTTACAATTTACTGGCTTTCATTCGCTTAAGTTAGCGATTAAAGCACATTGGGCAGATATAAATACACCAACCTCAGCAACCTCATCAGTGTGAACCGCTGCAACCGAGACACTTGACAATGGTTATTTTGTGTAACGCAATTCCTCAGAGCACCATCAATATAGTGCAAAACCGCCTTTATAACCAGATCCGCCTTGCGGTTAAAAGTGGTGACCAGAATGACTGTATTCCCCGCCCTTTGCAATTCGGCATCAGATGATTCGTTGTCCGTAATACCACAATACAGGCAATTTTCCAACTGGTCGGAACCCTCCACACAGATGAACGACCAGTCATACGATTTGAGTGTTGTTGGCCGCTCGCATAAGCATAAAATAAATATAAAATAAATGGCGCGATATGTCTAGATATGTTGTTATTACCGACATTATCTAACTAGAAGTCCACTTTTATAAAATAGTAGTTGAATTCAAGGCGATCGACTGCTGGAGCGTCCTGAGTGACTTCTTCTTATGCTTCTAGCCGTCACAGTTGGACATTTTTGGGACGCATTTGGTCATGTAATTATATTCGGTTTAGCCTAAGGGCTTTAATATTGTGTAATAACAATTTTTGAATCTATTTATGCATACTGTTGATGGTATTTCCAGCTGCGAAGATGCATTCAAGGTATACGTTAAAGATGAGCTGGAGAAACTTTTATGAATGACCGAAATTCGCCCAACGTTTTTCTAACTAGGACGGCCAGGGGCATAAAAAATATTACTCCGGAAACAAGTGACACTGTGAGATAGCAAGCCTACGTTTGTATAAAGCATTATGTGCTGCTCTATATAAAGGCCGATATAGAGCTGAAGAAACCAACGATTAGGGACATAACACTGGTACATGGGGCTAAAAATAATCCCCGAAACTGTACAATCTTAAATACGAAATCCCTTCAAATGGATGTTAGTCCTTTGCTGCCAATACGTTCATAACTCCTCTGACTAATTGTAGTAATATATATGTGGCCAACCTAATAATTGACTCAACATTTCTTTAACTGACGCCGAGACGCAGCAAACCACACAAAAAATTTAAGCGACCGTGATTTAATGGAAGGGTTTACGTTATTTTAAGTGCTAAGCTATTGATCAATAGTTACCAAATACTTAAGAAAATGTATAAATGGACTCTGTGCTACGGTGTAAAATGCTGGAAAACCAACTAAACGGATAAGTCGTTTGTCCGCGCGGAAATAACAAAATAAAATAATAATACACAAAAATTAACACAGTAGAAAAGTGTACATCATGCATGTATAACATAGTGTACTTACTCCCATAAATCCCAGTGGTTTTGATACAGAATTTGGCGTCCGCAACATTGCAAATTGAGGGCCGCAAAGGGGTCGTTTGAAGGTCTATTTTCGCCAAGCAGTGCGAGCTCTCCGAAGAGTTGCAAACATAACACGATCTAGCACTGGCTACATGACTTCGAATTTGCAATTTCTACCAATGGCATACCCGTGTTTACGGAAATCATGAAAAGTAGGAAAACGATCATCCCGGGGTATATTTCACCGTGGAAATGGTTGAGATAAACGAGTGCTAGGAATATGTTGTGAGCGCACTCAAGCTGACTTTAGTTCTTATTGACAATCCGGAAAGTTGAAACATAATAGCAAACGGGGTCGTATAGATTTGTTTATTTCTATTAATCCCACTTGGTTTCGACACGCGCAAAGTTTGGCTGATTGACTTCAACCAGTGTTTATTGTGTACCATGAATTGTGGAACATTATACTGGCCCAAAATTAAGGAAGAAGTACAACAACTAATTTTACTTGCCAGCGGGAACTCAGCACCAACGTAAAGAGAGGCATTCAAAGTGAATCCCAGCAATATGGAGCGCACTTGTTAAAACTACATGGTCATTATTATGTCAGATGCGTGTACAGTGCATGCTAAAGGTAAGAAGCTACTAGTGCGCGTCTGCGGGCTAACAGCGAAAAGCATACTGGACTAGAACACAACAATGGGAAGTAACACGTAAACGATGACGGGGGCCTGATATCCGATGAGAATGCGCTAATTGTCGTAAACGGCATAGCAGCTCCAAACACTACCAAGTAGCAACCCATCAAGTAACGAGGTCTTCGTAAAGCGGGCGTTCATGTTTTGAATTTTTATTTACGTTCATCACCGTGCATGCGTTTCTCCACAATTTAACCCGGACTCGTTCCCTACTTCAATTGCGAAAACGGACCTTAGCAGGTCATGAGGCGTTATCCAGTCGCCGGTTACAGCTAGTGTCATCTCTTACTAGCTGGTTGTGATAACTTCATGCAACCGCCCACTAGGTATTTTTGCATTGCGTCCCATTGGTCTATTACGACCTAGGTGCGCGTCAGACGCGGAAGCCCTCGGAATTTCCTTCTAGTTGCATGATGTAGTCGGTTGGTGAGCCTTATAGTAGCACGTTGGAGGTTAGAGAAGGACAAGGGTTGCTTCTGCTTCTCATACCTGTTCCTCTTCTGTACACTTTATCATGCCCTATTCCGTAATTAACTCTATCTCGGCTGGCTTGCCGAACAACCTCCATGTGGTGTCAGCTGGGTGTTTCCGGGTTAATCTTAGTCCAGCTAATAGATCGGTCTTTTTGTTCCAGGACATATTGGGTTTTCACTTGGAAAGCGTTCACCCTATAAAAAGACACAAATATCTGCTTAACAATCCTTGAATGGGCAGATCATTCTATCGAGAATATACCATTTATTTAGTTATTGTCTTCCCATACCGGAGGATCTTACATTTTTCGCGAAAGTCAACCACTTGAAGGCTTTTATGCGATCCTATCCTATATTCGCGCATTCGCCGAGCATGCTCCCTAGTCCACAGTAATAAGAACAAATACACACAACACAATAAATTTCACACGCACCCACTTACATACTACACACACATATATATCGAGTATTTACTGGTTAACTCGTAACGTTAATGCATCGTTTCTGAGGTTATGCCTTTGTATTACCATGATCCTGCCTTTGAAGACGCTTTTCGCGCCGTCGAGAATAAATCGTTATTTATTTATTTACTCAATTTTGGCGCCTTACCAAGTGGTTCTGCTATCAGTACACAGCTGCTTACCATTTACTTATTTTATACTGTGACTACAGGCCTTTATTATGACCCTCAGCACTAGTTGGAATGGAGTCTTTTAAACGCCGGACGGAAGTAATCTTACAGTTCATTTGCATGGGTGAACCTGGTTGACCTTTGAAATGGTGGCAACAAGTTAAGAATTGACGCAGTGATTAAATCATGCTTGCTATGTGTAGTTTACCTTTATGCCGTAAATCAAATTTCTAGGATACTATCCTTCCGAGTTTTCTGAGTGAATTACCGTACAGGACGTTGTTCGAATCATTACGTGCCGAACTTTGTGACAGCCACATCTTTTCTAGGTCGTGGTTTAACTTTTATTCATTGAATTGATCCAGGAACGAAGGTTACGTTGACGCTTTCTGGGCGTTTTCATGTATAATCGCATTTAGCACTCCTTTTTAATGCTCGCCACTACCAATTTATATGTGTTGTTATGCTTACCGTTTTCAACAGCCTTGCATCTTATGCTACGCATGATCGCAGATGTTCGGGTAGGGTCCGCCTGTTGAGTTGTTGTCGCTTGCAGAGTGAGATTCAATACCAATCACAGAATCAGCTGCAGAGTAGCATAGAAACCACGGGTGTCCTTAGATTTTTGGTTAGAAGAACCTGCTGTTCTATTTCTCCCGTCTGAGGATTACAGTGGACCGTAATAGACTTTTGAAGACAGAAAATAAATACCTCCTTGACTGTCTAGTTGAACAACCTCGCTTGGGTGCCAACTAAGCGGTTCGGGTTAATCCCTTTCCAGCGAAGTTTCGGCTACATTGTTTCAGGACCTGGTGGGTTTTCAGATAGCAAGCCTTCACACCATACACGCCACAAACGTCTTTTAACGAAAAAGGTGGGCCAGTTGTAACTAGCCATAAAACAAGAGCGCTGATTGTTATCGTTCCGGAGGAATTTACACTCTTCACCAACGTAGTCCACTTAGATGAGTTCCTTTTACCTTGCGCAGCGTCTCAACAGGCCCTCCCTACGATATTATTCGATATTCCCTATTACCTAAAGAAATAAATAAATGATTTACGCTTGACTATCTGAGCCACTCCCTGGAGAGCACAATCATGTCTATACAAAGGCGTAACCATAGTTAACTTACAGGAATATCACAAGTTCGCTAGTACATACCGGATATATATGTATGTGTGTGTGTTACGTGCACGTATGTGTAAGTCATCAAGTGCAAATTCGTTACCACTACTGTGGATTTTTGAGCTTGCTCGGTGAATCCAATAATGTAAATAGGGATCAGATACAATCTTTGAAGTGGTTGACGTTGGTGAAATGAATAGAATCCTCCGGTGAAGCCATGCCTTTATTTAGTGGGGTGTCATTTCCGTCACGTCACGGTCTTGTTAAGCAGACCGTTGTGGCTTTTACTAGGGAGAACGTTTTCCACACAGTAACACACCACGTCCTGGAGCGCTGCCGCCGAACTGTTAGCCCGAGCGGGATTAACCCGAAACCCCAGCTGGTACCATTTTTGGGTTGTGCCGCTAGCCTGCCGGTTCGGCCAGCCAGCCCGGGGTGATGGTGGTTGGACTTTGGCTACCTAGGTGCCCTTTACTTTCCAACTGGAGGTCTTCAGATATATTGCAACCTACCCTGTGTGTCGGAAAAGGAGGTGCGTTAACCCGTACTGGACGTAGATTACAACAGCAGCCGGTACAAACAGCTGTTAAGATGACAGGCGTACAAACACGAGGACGGTTGGGTTACGTCATCTTTCACCTATCGTAGCGGCGCAAATATTTGCATCTATGCACTAAAGCATGTTCGCTTATTTGTGTCCATACACAGCCATATTGAAGGAAGGAGGTACTGCATACACGAGGCAGTAAACAATTTATAGTCAATCTTTTTAGTCTTGTCTATCGTACTTGAACCTGCGCGTTACAGACTGGTACAGCCCTACACATATGTAGGTCGGTATATACACATGGCCACGCTTAAACCAGGTCTTTTAAGTCTGGAAGAACTTGTTCTACTTGAGGACATTTGTTCATCTCGGTTCCTTTACTGACGTTTCGGTGTTAATTGTGTGTGCTTTTCCCAAATACTATGTTGGTTGTTTGAAATCCCTGGTATGATTGCACTTGATATATCTTGCCAATGGGCAGGAGGCAGGATACAGTGAAGCGTTGTTGGGGTAATGGTTACCGGGTCCCTGTGGCCGTGCTGGGATAAAAGCTTGGTTCCATCAAGTGCGGAGTGGACTACGGCAATCTACCGCTTTGCATAAGTCTAGTACTCATGCTTCCTTGCCTGGATCGAAATGAATGCTGCTGCTGTGCATGTTAAAGGAGTATGGGCCGGCCGTTGATGAACCGTGGCGCACAACCACATGCATCCCGGTATAATCCTTCGGGTTTACACTTATTATGGGTATGTGGATGTAGCTGTGGGCGGTGCAGCGAAAGCCACCCATGAGCCTTCTGTAGGCACAGGCGTCCAGTGGCTGTTTTAAGGAGGCTGCATTGACAGGCAACTGAGGAACCGGATGCCGTCAACCACATATGCATACTGTGGGATAGCGTTTGTTTCGCTGAGGCTTCTTGTGGCTACGTCCTGACAGACGGCGTACCCAAAGCTGTTACGGTTGCTCCTTTGGATCCTATTCTGGCAGCCTCCTCTTGGCGACCGCTGGGTGGGAGTAGTGTTACGCCCTTCTTCTAGCTAAGAGTCAGGGCACACCGATCCGCATGTCAGTGAACTGTTTAGGTGCTGCACACGCTGTCTTTCGGATGCAGAATTAATGGAAGAATTTGGTTAGCGACGCGAGTCCTACATATGTTAGCTGTGGACGACCTGACTGTGTCTTAGTCCAAAACCTTTCTTCTTCGGCGATCAGGAAGTGGTTAGCGGTCCACTTCCTTTAAAACCTAGCTATGGGCGACAGCAAGTCCACGGGTTATAAGCTCACCGTTAGATTGGCGACGAGCACGAGCGCCAAGCATTAGCTCTGACTGTGGGAAGGCACCCAAGGGTGCTCAATGTTTTGCTATTGCTTGCTTCAAACCAGGGAACCCTTTCTCAACTTGGTGCAAACCTGCCGGAGCCCTCCTGCGTCTAGCGTGGTCGCACGTGCTTATCCTGCTACGGTTGCAAAACACATATGAATCGTTCCAGTACGTCAAAAACTGCGTGCGACGGCTGTCAAGCCGATCCCACTCTGACACTGCAACCACCTTCCTGAGCAGAATCCTGTCCCCATTGCCTTGTGAGTAATGCTTTTGAGCCAAAGGACTCGGGCGAAATCCCTAAAACATAGCACCTAACCACAACTACCAACACGCCCGCGATGGCGCACCGATGCAATCGTATAAATGCGCGCAACGATGTCAACATCGGGTGCTGAAACGCGCACACTGC